TCTGAATGATAAGACTGACTGGCGTCTTCGTGCTTCATTCTTTGAATGCTGCCCAATCATCGCACAGTTCGTTGGTCGAGCAAGCACTTACATCCTGAAATCGCTGCTGCAACAGGTCTGATCCGTCATTTAATTTCAGAACGGGTATGTGTGTGTGTACGTATGTGTGTGTGTCCTTCTATGGGTGTGTATGTGTGTATTTGTGTATGTGTCTTTGTGTATGTTCGTATGTATGTTTATTTTTACATAGGCATTGTGTGCGTGCATTTGTGTGATGGGAATGTTTCAAGAAACTTTCTAACCCGCGCATCTTTTTATTTGCTGTAGCATGAAGTTAAAGTTTGATTCGGTTTTACTATTAATAAGATTAGTTTTTTATTTTTATTTTTTTTTTTTTATTTTTCACATTGAGTAGCTGTTTCATCGTTGCTTTTTTTTGTGTTGCTAGTGCAGCTGAAAACTTCTCCATTCTTCTCCGTTTTCGGCTCCTCTCGTAGACTTAATTCTGTACGGGGGTTTAGTTCCCTACTATATCCAGTTGTGGATGTGGACTCCGTTTCGTGTATATGAGTATGCCTATTCTTATCACAAATTAAAGTATTTTTGATTCCTATGAGCATATCACTTATATGTATTTACTTACTTTCTTTTTTTGAGGGCTTACATGATTATGAAGAATTCGTGCAACTCTGCGCCCTACGCTGTATATGTCAGCTATGCAAGCAAGATTTGCTGGAAAAGTCCGCGACATTTGAGATGCTCACCGATGTCATGCCCTTTTTAGCACATCCTGTAAGTATTTTCAGTGTTATGTATTTACTTACTTTTATACTTTTCATATAAATTGCTTCATCGTTATGCATCTGTTACTTGACTAATCAATAAAACTGTCCAGTTTTCGACGACTGCTGTAATCTGTGATTCTAGCAGTATCGGTTTTTACGTGTCGCGGAAGTCTCACGAAAGCCGGCAAAAAAAAGGCAGTGTGCTACATGTTATAGCAACATCAGAAAATTGGAAAACATTGGCTGAAATTTTGTCAGGATGTTTGTCTCCTTTGTAGGAAATAATATACCCAGAATGAGTACCGATTTGCACTTGTGCCACGACTTAGGGCACTTCAAAGATATTTGTAGCGAAGTGGATATTTCGTTTACCGGATAAGCTGTGAGACTGGAAATTGGAGGAGAGGAGGAGGGGAGGGGATGTATGCGTCTTGCATACATACAGGACAGATATAAATGCCCCAGTTGAAGTGTGAAGCACAAGGGCTGGCAGTGTAGTGGTCTAGCATGTCATGTGCGAATGCAGTAAAGAGTGGTTCGATTTCTTCTCGGTTCACGACTACTGGTTAAAAGAGATTCCGCCTGGGACACGCTGTTAATATTGCAGCATTTAAGAATGCGGAGAAAAATGCCCATTATGGATGTGTAGAGCGGTAATGCAAACGAACCTGGAGATTTTAAGCAAAGCCAATGATTCGATCATTCTCGAACTGTTTTTTTTTTCAAATTTAGAACGAATATCTGCGGATGACAACTGTAAATATTCTAAGTGTGTTGGATACGAAATACGGTGTTGCTGATATGCTCTGTAAAGTGATGCCAAATTTGGAACCGTATACCACCGAACCATTGATTCGACTGAGGCACAAGGTAAAATCTTTACTTTTACTTTCTTGTAATATTACGTTAGATTTTGTCAATGGGGAAAATCAGCCTTTTTACGGTTTGGTAACATAATTTGATCAGCTTCGGATTGTTGTGAAGGATAAATTGCTTTTTTACTTCCTCAGATCGCTTTGCCCCACAACAAATAATTGTATTTTTGGTTCGTTATCCTCAAGTATTCAGTGCGCGCTAGTTTGGAAGAAATTCTACTGCCAGCAAATATTGCTAGAATCCTTCGACTACACACCCATATTGAGCATTTATTTCCGTATCCTAAAGAGGGTGGTTTGATTTCTTCCCAGTCCATAACTCCGCGCAGAAAATGTTAAACAGCCAGATGGTATTCAAAAAAGAAAGCAGCTAAAAATATGAATTTTACAATTTATTGTCAATCGATATTTAACAATCTCAACACGGATACTTATATTTTTTGCAGTTTGCTGTTGCTGCAATATTGAAGCCATGCATCCCGCGCCCAATTTGGACTTTTGTTGTCGATCATTCTCCGGTGAAAGCGCTGCTCAATTTCCTCACCGACAAGCAAATGTATATAGCAATGGATGGTGGCCCAGATTCGATGTTCGCCACTAGTAGGAGGTGATTTTTGCCTGTTTTTTTTTATCAAATTTTATGTTTATCTTGATGAATTCGTCCCCACAAATGTTCGGTATCCCATTAGG